AAGGAAGGAAGGAAGGAAGGAAGGAAGGAAGGAAGGAAGGAAGGAAGGAAGGAAGGAATTTGGTTGTGTAATGAAAACCCTCACACATATTGTATTCCTCTTCTTTGTTCCAACCCTCCCTATCCACAGGCCAGGGCCAGGGCCAGGGCCAAAACCCCCATGCTGACCACAGGAGCAACACATTCCTAGCAGTCCTTGCCATTTAATTTGCTTCCAGTGGACAAATGCTATTTGGTGATGGTAATGAAAGCAGCCCCTTCATTTCCAAAAGCCCAAACCAGGCATGCCTGCATCATCTTGGCTACCAAGGTGGTGAGGGAAACCAAGCAAGTGCCCAAGAACCGCAGATGTCCCAGCATCCAGCTGTGTGCTTATGCAGAGATGCCTCTGAGCCCTGCCCAGTGGTGCACAGGCAGTACTGTGCAGTCCTGCCCCCACCTTCAGGGCTGGTGGGAAGGTGGGGACAGGACTGAGCACAGCATGCAGGGTGCAGACCCTCAGGTCTGAGAGGACCCAGGAGGTTCAGCTCGGGTGGGTGTCCCTTTACTGAGACCATGTGGTGATGAAAGGCACGTGGACCAGGGCTCAGATCTTGTTTATCCTTTACAAACCCTGAGTGCTTGGCCCCTCTTCAAACCTTAGTAACCTTACCTGGAAACTGTCAGGAGAAGGAATCGGAATAGTTCTTATTCCTTGTCATCGTGAGGCCTGAAACAGAATGTCTGTAAAATGCATGTCACTGAGCCTTGCACGTGGAAAGTGCCCGCCCGCGCTCTCCATATCACCATCTGATAAGGCATAAGGCGATTGTTGCCTTAACTGTCATCTTTCCAGTGCAGAAAGATCAGCTCAGTTCACCAAATATTTATAAGGCTTTACAGTGAACTGGGACCTATGTAGATGTTGTCACCAAAAGACATAGCAGAAAGTCCCTAATAGCAATGTTTTAAGTGACCCAAATTGGAACCAACTCAGGTGCCCATTCATAGTAGAATAAGTAAGCCCTAACTGAGCCTGGCACAGAGTGGATTGGGGTGCAGCGGTCTAGATACTGCAGAGTGTTTGGTGGTCAGGATGTGACTTGTGGCCTCGCAGATGAATCTCACAAAATGTGATATAGGATGAAAGCAGCCACACACAAGGGCATGCTGGGTGAAGCCACGTCAGTGACATACACACTCAGGTGAACCCAACCTGTGGACTCAGCCTCTGGGGAGGAGGGTGGAATTCTACCCATGAAGGAAGGGTAATGTGCTGTGGTATGAGTGATGGATCCTAGAGCACCCATGTTGTAAAAATTCATTGGTCACACAGTCTGATTTATGCACTCTTCTGTATCTGTGCTAAACTTCAATTAAAATTTTGCCAAATAAGTAAGCATCTCAGCAGAGAGCATGTAGTCCCCTGGCCCACGGCTTTGCTTTTGCTTTAGTTGATTTAGGTTACTTGTGGTCAACCATGAGCTGAATTCAATGAAAAAAGGGGTGGGGGGGATTGGTCCACATAACTTTGTTCACAGTATGTTGATTTGCAGACTTTTTACATAACTTTTATGCCAGTGTATTGTTATAATTATTCTATTTTATTTTTATTATTGTTAATCTCTCACTGTGCCTAATTTATAAATTAAACTTTATCCTAGGGAAAAAAACATAGTCTATTCAGGTTTCGGTGCTATCCAGGATTTCAGAGATACACTAGGGGTCTTGGAGTGTGTCTCTCTTAGATAAGGGGAACTATGGTCATATGTTTCTATACTGGGGAAAGTGAGTCTACTCCTTGGCTTACCTACCAGGGCCCCTGAGTCCACAGCAGAGGCAGACAGGCAGGCAGCACGGGACGGATGGTGGAGGCCCTAACAATGGAGTTGTGTGCTAGACACAGAAGCTCCCAAAGGGGAGCACAAGGGCCATCACACCAGTGCTGGCGGCAGGACTCCCAGGTCCCACGTGGTTCATCCAGGAGCCACTTTCTGTCTGCCTTCCTACTGGTGGCTGAGCCATAACTGCAGGAACTCAGCTCCTGTCTCCCTCCTCACATCACCACCACCACCACCATTGTCCAGCCAGGATCACTAGCACACACCAGGCCCCTGGCTTTCCTGGCCTCTCTGTTTGCCATGCTATAACCCAGATTCACCACACTATAATATCACTATTTTCACAAGGCTCCCCGTGTGCTCCTTGTGCACCTCAACCCTTGGGAAACACTGCTGTCCACTAGAACCAGAGAACACATGGGATCCTGACCCAAGACACACTGAAAATAGCCCAAGCCTGTCACGAAGCACCACAACTTACTGGCTTTCCCCAGTTTGTCTTCCAGACACACCTGGTTTCACTTCCAGACTTTCTTTCTACTTCCCAATATCTTTGCTGCATTTCCAATTGGCCCCTCTCCAAGTGCTCCTGGTTGCCTGGTTCTCATTCCTGAATCCATGCCTCGGGATAGTCTGGGATGCCCTCGGCCCTATTGAGAGCCTCCTATTTATCTTAGGTTCCAGCTCAAACTTTGCCTCTGTGAAGCCGTCCGCCATGTTCCCCAGGGCTCTGTGGTTCTGCCCAGCAACTCGTATGTACCAGAATTAGATCACCTCCCTAAATGTCACTCTTCCATATCTGACTGTTCACGCCACCCACTGCCCTCAGGGCAGGGCCTGCCCTGCATCCTGGCATCCTCAGGGTTTAGCACCAGCTCAGAACTGGAGGTGACCAAGGGTGTGTTTTGACCGAGTAAAATCCATCAACACACAGTCAGAGTCACCCAGGCACAAGTGGCCTGCTGTGGGGTGAAGGGCTGTGGTGGGGACCCTCCAGGTGACCTGCACTTGATAGGTGAGAGGTAGCAACCTACCCATGCTTTTCTGTTGTTTTCTATTCCCAGTGACCTTCAGTGACTGTAAAGGAAATGACAAGCTGTGCTATGGGGTGTCAAGCCCACACTTCAGGGTGAACAGCGATGGCAGCCTAGTTGCCCTGAGAAACATAACTGCATTGGGCAGAACCCTGTTTCTGCACGCGTGGACTCTCCACGCTGAGGACATGGCAGAACTCATGATCATCGGCGGGAAGGACATCCAGGGGTCCTTGCAGGTAACCTTGGGTGCAAGAAGAGCACTGGGTCTTCTCTCTGTCTTATGTGCAAAATGGATCTTTATTGCATTGGCTAAGATTATTTTTGTTATTGTTGTTGCAAATGAGAGAAATTCAACTTAAAAATGGTGGGGGAGGAGCAGTAGGAATTTATTGATTTATGTAACTAATATATTTTAGGGATGTCTATGTACTGGTGCTATATAATGGCAAAAACTTTGGTCTGTGTTCATCCTGTTTTGCTGGGTCTGCTCGGAGAGGCTCACCTCTCCCTGCCTCCCAGGGTGGAGGTCTCTGCAGCTTGACCTCATTCTCCCAGGCTGAAGTCACTTGAGAGAACATCTGTCTCCACTTGATGATGGTAACGAAGCTTTGAATCTCATCAGCTCCTGAGTCCTTCCCTGAACTGACCTCTGAGTCCAGTCCACTGGACTGTGATGCTCTAATCAACCATGTCAGGGTCACGTATCTCTTCTTGAAACCAGGGTGGGGTCATCCACACCCCTAAACACATGGACAGGGAGTAAAGGAAGAGTAATCCCTCAAAGTAAAGTAGAAGCTAGCTTCAGAGGAAGAGACATGGACGTGGGGCAGGGAAGAGCACAGTGTCCCACTGGAGTTGTGTAGCAAGGCCATTGCATATGGAGTGGTTCCCTCTTTTGCCACAAACCAGTATCTGTTCCGTCAGATGCACACGAATGCCGATCCTTACCACACGTGTATACAGCACATTAGTGCCGCACCCTGCCTCTTGGCCTCCCCGATTCTGTCACTCAGAGTCTTTGTGCTGCACAAAACTGACTCACCTATCCTCCTTCACCAGGAGCTCAGAGTCTCTGGCTTCTTGATTAAAGGATGTTTTGAAAACTACTCAGTAAATTAATTATGATGACAGTGTGGCTGGCGCTTGGCCTGCATTTTCTGTGCGACCCTGCATTTCCTCAGTCTTTGTGCCTGGGATTCACGTATCCTTTCTTCATCTGCCACCCGTGACCCTCCTTGTTTGTGATCTGGGGTCTGGTTCAGTGATCGGGAGAGTCTTATAACTTCTTGGTCTGCAGACTGGAGGGTGCACAGCCTGGGATGGCACCTCAGTGGCCATTGGCCTGGGAGCTGCCCCACTCTTCACCATGCTCATGTAGACATGGATGATTGCCGCGGTGTGATCTGAGTGTCTTCCCAAAGCAGTGCTTCAGGAACCTTCTATCGATTCAGCATTTAAAGACATTTCTATGGATGGGATAGGATCTATTTTCCATCACAGAACTAGATCCACTCAATAATTGCCCTTCCTACCCGTGATGCTGTAGTTAAGGGTAATTCGTAGCCCAGCAATGAATCTACAGCATCACTGATTTTTTAAAAGAAAATGGAATGTTGGTGATGGTGCAGACCAGCCACGAGGCCCATCGACACCACAGAGGCAAGATTTTCTCTTCCTTCCTCACTGCCATTTCCACAGTGTCTCACTCACCTGTGACGTAAATGACTTGGCAAATACATAAAGAACCAGAGTCACCACTACGTGCAGCAAAACGTGCTCCTAGGAAACATAAGGCAGGGTAGAGACTCAGTCAGGGGCACCCTAAGGGACTGGATGCATCTCATTGGCAGATGTTCCTTGTGATTGGTGGCTCTTTATGTCCAGAGAAGATAAAGTCATAGTGATTTTCTTGAAAGAGGACAGAAGGGATTCTGGGTACTTCCTAGGATAACCCCACTTGGTGGGCTGGGAGGCCGGGGTTCACAGGAAAGGGGCTTGACCAGGAAGGCCCATGCCTAGAGGCCCAGGAGACATTTCACAGCAGCAGCTCATCCAATTCCCAGCTGTTTTTCATTCTCCTGCATCTGAACGCACCATTCACAGAACTTGGCTGTGATTATCTGCTTCCTATAAGCAGAGGCTGCTGCACCACTTGGCAAGCCATGCTCAGCTCTGCCCTTGGTAATTCCATGAGGTGTGAACACTGGCCTTGTGAAGATACCCAGCTGTGTCTGTAACAAGCCCCCAAAAAGAAAAAAAGAAAGAACAGGAAAGGAAGACAAAATTGGTAGCAGATGAACCCCTCTGAGGAGAACACAGACGTGGATAGATCTGTAGTTGGTGATTTTTAAAGCCTTATTGTGTGTGGCCCAGGAATCTGACAGGGTGGGAGTCAACTCAGAGATGGATGGGGAGGGACAAGGAGTGTACCTAGGGGTAGGTAAGGCAGGGAGGCAGGTGCGCGCTGCTCTGTGCCTGGAGCAGGGTGGGTCAGGGAAGTGGGCAGTGCTGTGAGCAGGGAACAGTAATGGTTAGCTGATGGCCACACCACAGTCCAGTCCTGATGCTTATGGACACCTGTGACAGCTCAGCCTGCTGGTTTACTCTTTCAGCCCACAGAGAGGGGTGTTATTGGTGCCACTATCACCTGCATTCATGGGTGAGGAGACCCAGAGACATGAGACTGTCTGACACTGGTCACAGCAGTAGATGGCAGAGCCAGGGCTAACCCTAGCAGCATGGCTCAGGAGCCTCCTCTTGACCTCTGGGACAGAACACACATGCCCAAAGGTCATTTACCACAGTCACAATGACACCAGTAGCAAGCAGGGCCTGAGACCCAGACTGGCAGATTATCAGAACCCAGTCAGGGTCCTCTCCCCATGGTGGAAGGTGGCAAACCCTCCCTGTAAACTTTGGTCCCACTGGGCATGGCTCCTCTTGGACCCTTGTGTCCCATTTCTGCTCAGGCCACTATGATGTGTAGGGCCACTGTGCACCCTGGGGACACTCCCTCAGTACCCTCAGCCAGGAGCTCTGCAGTTGCAGAGGTAATTTGCCACCCTCCATCCCCCAAGGCTCATCCTGAACACCGGTACTCACACAAGCCAGCATCTGGTGCCCCGGGGCCTGTCTCTGAGTCAAGGAAGGCTGGAAGGAAAATGCTGAGTTAAAATCCTGGAAACAGGTGGGCAGACCGTGGGGGTCTGGATTAATGTGACATGCAGCAGGAACTGTTATAAGGACTTCCTTCCCTCCTCTATCCACCCATCCGTGAGTTTACTGCTCAACCCTCAGCACCCAACACAATGCTTGGTATACAGCTGGTGCTCAGTAAATGTCTTCTGAACAAATGGAAGAGCAGGGCGGGATGAACACTCCTCCCTAACTTACTCTGCCTCTGCAGTACCAAACCACATTGCTTTCTTGGATTGGCCCAGCTTTCCCATCCCTTCACGCTGGCCGTGCCTCTGTCTGGACAGTGTCTCCTCCACCAGCAGCCAGCACCCCTCTGATCCCTCAGGACTGGCCAAGGTTTCCCTCCTTGGGGAGAACCTCTTCCTCCATGCCCCCCTAGCCTGCCTGGCTCTCCCCTATCACACTCTGACCTGAGCAGTCTGCTTACCTATGCTTGTGCCCATCTCAGTCCGAGCCCTGAGCTTGGGGACCCTGCACCCATGCAGGAGACTAACAGGAGGGTCTGGAGCCAGAACCCTTGGGTGAATCCCGTGCTGCTCTTGCCTCAGCTCTGGCTTCCTGAGCTACGTACAATATGGGCTTGCGTGGTACCAACTGGTAGAGGTGCCTGGAGGACAGAAAGACTTAATACATGCAGAGCCTCAGAACAGTGACCCGCATTTTTAAGTGCCATGCGGATGGCAATTATTCCTCATAACAGATTGTCAGAGGCAGAGCTACCGTGCACATTCAGTGAACCCGTGAGGCAGGGTGAGATGACCAGTCCTGCACCCACACCCACAAGGGCCTGACACCATCACTTCCACACCTTTGTGGGATTCCAGACAGCAGATGACTGCATTGTGGCCACCTGTTTCTCAAATGCCTACTCCTGGATGAGGAAATCCTGTAGTTAGGAGTTCTGCATTTCTATGAGCCCAGGTAAAAAATACCAGCAGCCTTGGCAGTATTTAAAAGATAACTAAGAACAATTTTCATTTCTTTCCTGGAAGACAATACAAGGTAAAACTTGACCCAAAAGGAAAACTGGACTCTTAATCAAGTTGCTCAAATTAAATGCAACAGTAATAACTGTATTTATATCACCCTTCTTTTTTGTTATGTTAAGAATCCTTAAAAATAAAGAAAGTTCTGACAGATACTGAAAGGTGAACTTGAAGGCTGGTTCCTCTCTGGCTGTTCATCATCACCATAAACACACAATTTAAAAGGAAAAAATTTGGCTGCTAATCTAGTTTCAAGAGTCAGTTTGGAAATAGTTCCTAAAAAATATAAAATAAAATGAGTAACCAGAGAAAGGAACCACTTGAGGGAAATTGTTGATTTTATTGTAAACTTTCAAAATACAATTATGAAACAAGTCTTCAACTACCAGAAGTCCTTAGCAGTGGTGCTGCCTGGCGTGTGGCGTCTGTCACCACTCCTTCCCAGAGCTCAGATTCCATTTGTGTAGACCTTAAGGGGGTCCTGGGTGGAGACCCTGAAGAAATGGCTAAGCGCTCCCTTCTGCCCACACACATGCTAGAGATACTTAGCCAGATTGCTTTGCACAATATTAAGGGGAACCTAGAATTACCACAAATTTGCATCAAATCACACATTTACCAGCAATCAGCCATATGGTACTGCAAAGTCACCTAAATCCTTGTCACTTCTATACATTCAATTCCCTAGTTTTCCAAATCTCACATTCTAGACAAAAGTGTTTCTGCACATTTATTACTTGTGAGATAAGCTCCAATTTTTTTTTAATCCCAAGAGGACCATTTGCATCCTCTGTTTATTTTGGCCATCGTGCCGTCAAATCTCCAAGTCACCTGCCCCACCACACACAGGTGACCAGACTTCACTTCTTCAAAGCATCCCAGATGCTTTAAAAATGAGAGTCACCAGCTACAGTGAAATGAATCATCTTTCTCAAGACCTTATCGCACTGATGTGGACTGACGCAGAGTCTGTAGAGCTGGTCAATTATATCGATCTTGCTTACATGAAATATGTTTTACAAACATCCCAGTGTATGACCAATCTGTGTGTT